GAGAGAAAGAGACAGAGAGCGAGAGAGAGAGAGGGAGAGAGAGAGGCAGAGAAAGGAGGGACAGAGAGAGAGAGAGAGAAGAGAGAGAAGAGAGAAGAGAGAAGAGAGAAGAGAGAAGAGAGAAGAGAGAAGAGAGAAGAGAGAGAGACAAAAAAGGGGAAAAAAAGAGAAAAAGAGAGAACGAGAGACAGAGAGAAAGAGAGAAAGAGAGAAAGAGAGAAAGAGAGAAAGAGAGAAAAAAAGAAAGAGAGAAAGAGAGAAAGAGAGAAAGAGAGAAAGAGAGAAAGAGAGAAAGAGAGAAAGAGAGAAAGAGAGAAAGACAGAAAGAGAGAAAGAGAGAGAGAGAGAGAGAAGAAAGAGAGAGAGAGAGAGAGCAACAATATGGCACACGCGATGGCCTTGTTTCATCTCAAACAACAAAGGGGTCGTTTGCTTTGTCTCCACGCGGCTGGGAACCAGGCCCAAACTCCGCGCGCTCGGCAGTTGGCGATGGCGAGTCCCCCAGGCCGAGGACCTCTGCGAGTTTGAAACTTTCAAGGACTTCCGGGCAGGGAAAGCTCATTCCGATGCGACTGGCTAGAACTCTCAGAAAATCTGTGTGAATCTGCAAAAGTGGGCTGCTTTGGACGCAAAACAAAACGGTTTTCCAATTTAGGGCTTTCAGCTGGTCGTGCCAGCAAACCTGCCGCTGAAATGATTGCCACAATTACCACGCCTGAGTCTCTTTGCTGATTCCGGACACCTCACGTACAAATATAACTCTTCCCAATTTCAAACCACATCAGATCCCCCTAAGCTCCCTCCAGGTTCGGATCCCCGCAGTCCGAAGGAAAGCAAGGGAAAGCGAATCTGGGCAAAGGATCTTTCTTTCGTCGCGAATTCTCCATGCATGCCTTTGATCGTGGCCAACTGTACAAGCCACATCAGGCCATAGTGGAAAAGTGGTCCAAACTGACTTGGGCCTCGGTCACAAAATTCGCAGCGGGTGCCGGGATTGGCTGGAGCTCGTGCGCGGCCCGGCTGCACGTTGGCTGCGCCCTCGAAACGAGGCTCCGACCAAACGCGGCGTGCGTCGAAATGCTTAATTAGCGCCCTGCGCCAGCCGTGTCTGTTGTGACCGGCTCTTGAAGCAAGGCGGGATGTACTCAGTCCGAATCTGCGTTTGAGTGTCATGGCAAGTTGAACTGCTCTGCATGCTGCAGCAAATTTGCCGGGCTGTCAGAGATCATTGCTCCAGGTGCAAGCCACCCGTAGTTTCCATCTCTTCGATCAGACCGTCAATTTCACACTGCTTTCCCTTGGCATCCATGACAGCGCTGGCGTCCCTCGACAGCTGGCGGCTCACCAGCTGGCTGTAGACCCCCCCAGTCTTCAGCAGCTCCTCGTGAGTCCCGTGCTCCATGATGGCGCCCTTGTGGACCACGCAGATCTGGGTGGCATTGATCACGGTGCTGAGCCGGTGCGCGATGAGCACCACAGTGCTCCTCAGCTCCGAGATCAGCTTCTCAAGAGCGGCCTGCACCATCGCCTCAGAGCAACCCCATTTCCGGCCATCCACTTTCTGGCCCGAGTTCTCCCAGAACCCTCCAGCAGACCTTTTCAGCATACCCGGAACCCCAGTAAAAGTGCCAAAACCTCAGAATCGGAGGGTTTGGTATGTTGGAGGCTTCTTGGAGTTTGCCATGTAAATATATATATATATATATCCTCAGGGGTACCTTCATTGTTTTTGCTATCTTTGTCAAAAGGCAACTCGGGTACCTGTCATCATTCCTGGCCGTCTCAAAAAGGTGACCAGTCAAGGGCCCAACCACGTGCCTCTGAGGTCGAGGCAAGAGCCGAACCAGAATTTGATTGTGGCTCAGGTACTCCCTGGAAGAGACTTCAACGTGGAAACACAAAGTATCAAGCCAACCTGTGACTACTTCTAAAAAGAAAAAAAGGCTCCACAGAGTGAGTCCCCACGTACCCTCCCACCAACAAACATACAAATTCGCGCCCTTTGTTAAAGACTACAATTTGCCTTTGACAAAGGCGGTCTGTGCACTTCCATGTTTGACGGAGGCTTTAGTTGTGTGAATTTCCCAGCATTCGAACCCCTACAGAACCTCCATTTGCTTAAGCCCCTGGAAAATATAGAATATTTCCAGTAGTGATAGATTCCCTTTAAAACCAAAAGGGGAAAACAAAAACAATCTTAAGCAAATGGAAGAGGACCTGTCTGAATTCGACTTCTGGCCTCGTTCTCCGCGTCCAAGGCGGAGGTGGCCTCGTCCAGGAAGAGCATCCGGGGCCTCCGCAGGAAGCAGCGCGCGATGGCGAGGCGCTGCTTTTGGCCCCCCGACAGCATGATGCCCTTCTCCCCCACCCGGGTGTCGTAGCCCTCCTCCATGTCCAGGATGAACTCGTGCACGTTGGCGGCCTTGCAGGCGTGAATGAGCTCCTCCTTGGTGTAGTCCCGGCCCAGGCCGTAGGCAAGGTTCTCCTCCACGGAGCAGGAGAAGAGCTGCGTGTCCTGAGCCACGAAGCCACAGCACTGGCGCACACCTTTGGAGGACAAGGTCTTGGTATTCCGCCCATCCAGAAGGATGTCCCCAGCCGTGGGCTCGTAGAACCGCATCAGCAAGTTCACCAAGGTGCTCTTGCCACCCCCGCTCTTGCCCACCAAGGCGGTGCTGGTTCCAGGGTGCAGGTCCAGGTCGATGCCCTTCAGCACGAGGCTGTCGGGACGCGAGCGGTACCAGAACTGGATGCCCTTGAGCTGCAAGTGACCCTTCACGCTCTCACGGGTCACCACTTCCCCCTCATCCGGATTCACGTCCGGCCGCGCGTCGATGAGGGAGAAAACCCGCTCGGCGGCGGAAGAGGACCTGATCAGGTCATTGAAGACATTTCCCAGGGAGATGAAGGCGTTGTTCATCATGTTCCAGTACAATTGGAAGGTGATGAGCGAGCCGATGCTCATCTGTCCATTCCCGTCGCACACCTGCTGCCCACCATACCAAAGAATCAGCACCGCAGTGCCCAGGTTCAAGTATGTGGTGAAGGCCGTCATGGAGGCCCCCACGTATGCGTTTCTGACCCCATGGCCTAAGGACGTATTGATGGAGTCCGAGAAGTTGCCGGATTCGAATTCCTCGGTGGAGAAGCCCCGCACCGTGCGGATGTTGGAAATGGCGTCGGTGGCGGTAGAGTTGGCCTCGCCCATGGCGCATTGGATGGAGAGCCTCACCTTGCGCGCCCAATGGGCGTAGGCCCGGTAGCTGTAGGTGATAGGGGGCACGATGGTCAGGGACAAAATCGACAGCTTCCAGGAGGTGCGGAAGGCCATCAGCATGCCGCCCACCAGGAGCAGCACGTTGGCCAGCAGGTCGTTCATGAGGGTGTTCAAAGGCTGCGTCATCTCGCCGGCGTCGTTGGTGAGCCGACTGGTGAGCTGGCCCGTATGCATGGTGTCGAAGAAGGCGATGTCCATGCGGATGACGCTGGCGAAGAGCTGCAGCCGCACAGAGCACGCCATCCGCCGCTGCACCAGCTCCTGCGCCAGCGCCTTCAGCCCGCTGAAGCAGCCCTGCAGCACATTCACCACCACGTACGTCAGCATCGCCGTCTCGAAGCGGCCTCGCCCCGACTCTGGGTGCTGCAGAAAGGCGATGATGCCGTCGAAGATGGAGCCCTGCACATTGGGTGTCAGGATCTGCAGCAGCTGCACAATCACCAGGCATGCCAAAGCCGCCACCAGCGTGGGCCAGAAGTCCAGGGCGATGAGGACAATACGCTTGAAGTAAGTCCATGTTGTAATCTGCTCGCCAGCCCGCCGCACAGACCAAGCACCAAATCCTTTGGCACTGGTTTTGTTTTTCTGTTTATAGCACCTGGGGCAAAGGCCAAAATTGCAGCTGCGGCAAATGTGGGCCACGTAGTGAGGCCTCTTCATCGAATCGCCACAAACGGCGCAGCGATGACACTTCAGCTCGGTCTGAAAGAACAGTGGGTGCATGTGCATATGCGGGATGAGCTCACCTTGGTCCTCAGTGAACTTATTGAGCACATTCTTCAGCATGAAGTATTCCACGTTGATCATGATCATGGTGATGGCTTGCAAAGTGCCCTGTAGGACCAAGTAGTTCGCGTCATAGTGGAACACAATGCACTTGATGCCGTTGTAGAAAGACATGCCCGTGCTGATGGCAAAGAGCATCATCATGACCACCTCCTTCCTGCGATCTGCTCTCTTCATCAGCAGCGCATGATCCAGGTTCATCTCGAAGACCGTCTTCTCGGAGCTGCTGGAGCCGCTGGAGCCGCTCGAGTTCGATCTCGCACTCCCCGTGCTCGTGCTGCTGATCGGAAGCTCCGCCAAGGGCACCCGAAGATCCGAGGCCGAGGTCGCGGTGCAGGGGCGCGACTGCGGAGACGCCGTGCGACGGTGCACCACCAGAGCCAGGAGGGACATCAGAGGGAAGACCACGAGGCGGATCAAACAGCAGCTGAAAGTATCAGAGGTCTCTGATTCGTATTTGGTCGCATGAGGGTCCTTCTTCTCAATGTTGCCGATGGCAAAAAGGCCGCCTGTGACTGCTAGGTCTAGCACAAAAGCAGCCAGAATCGCTAGAACGTGAGCCCTCCGGGACACCATGGGCAACGCTACAGCTGAAGGCAGGAAGATTCGGCCACTGAGCGCAAACAGCTGAGCAAGTTGTGCACTTGGCCGTGCTGGGCACCTGAGGCATTTCCGGCTGAAGCTACGGAGCTCGAGCTCCGGCCTCAGATCGTGAAGTTTGTGGCGCCCACGCTGACTTGGACCTTCTTCACACCTGCGCGCTTGCATGAAATTTCCATTCTGGCAATGACGGTGTTCCCCTGCAACACGTGTGAGCAAGGGCATCAGGGGCCTAGCATGGCCTAGCATATCTGCACGTTGCTAATTGGCCGTGGGTCAAAACCAATGGTACCATTTTGGGGTAGGTGGGGATTGGGATGTTCACTGGGGGTACGGGGTTTGACCCATGGCCAATTGTTTTTTTCAGCTGGTGTCCACCGGGTACTTGTACGTGCAGGGACCAAGTTATACCATCATGTCCTAGAGTCACACTGATGGGCTTATAGACTAGCATTCCCTGCAAACTCATGGAACTCAGCGCTGTCTCCAAAAGGCAAGTGAGAAACCTGGAGGCTTCGGATCCAATGGATCCCGAGTTCGTACCGATCCCCGCAGTCCGAAGGAAAGCAAGGGAAAGCGAATCTGGGCAAAGGATCTTTCTTTCGTCGCGAATTCTCCATGCATGCCTTTGATCGTGGCCAACTGTACAAGCCACATCAGGCCATAGTGGAAAAGTGGTCCAAACTGACTTGGGCCTCGGTCACAAAATTCGCAGCGGGTGCCGGGATTGGCTGGAGCTCGTGCGCGGCCCGGCTGCACGTTGGCTGCGCCCTCGAAACGAGGCTCCGACCAAACGCGGCGTGCGTCGAAATGCTTAATTAGCGCCCTGCGCCAGCCGTGTCTGTTGTGACCGGCTCTTGAAGCAAGGCGGGATGTACTCAGTCCGAATCTGCGTTTGAGTGTCATGGCAAGTTGAACTGCTCTGCATGCTGCAGCAAATTTGCCGGGCTGTCAGAGATCATTGCTCCAGGTGCAAGCCACCCGTAGTTTCCATCTCTTCGATCAGACCGTCAATTTCACACTGCTTTCCCTTGGCATCCATGACAGCGCTGGCGTCCCTCGACAGCTGGCGGCTCACCAGCTGGCTGTAGACCCCCCCAGTCTTCAGCAGCTCCTCGTGAGTCCCGTGCTCCATGATGGCGCCCTTGTGGACCACGCAGATCTGGGTGGCGTTGATCACGGTGCTGAGCCGGTGCGCGATGAGCACCACAGTGCTCCTCAGCTCCGAGATCAGCTTCTCAAGAGCGGCCTGCACCATCGCCTCAGAGCAACCCCATTTCCGGCCATCCACTTTCTGGCCCGAGTTCTCCCAGAACCCTCCAGCAGACCTTTTCAGCATACCCCGGAACCCCAGTAAAAGTGCCAAAACCTCAGAATCGGAGGGTTTGGTATGTTGGAGGCTTCTTGGAGTTTGCCATGTAAATATATATATATATAGCCTCAGGGGTACCTTCATTGTTTTTGCTATCTTTGTCAAAAGGCAACTCGGGTACCTGTCATCATTCCTGGCCGTCTCAAAAAGGTGACCAGTCAAGGGCCCAACCACGTGCCTCTGAGGTCGAGGCAAGAGCCGAACCAGAATTTGATTGTGGCTCAGGTACTCCCTGGAAGAGACTTCAACGTGGAAACACAAAGTATCAAGCCAACCTGTGACTGCTTCTAAAAAGAAAAAAATGGCTCCACAGAGTGAGTCCCCAGGTACCCTCCCACCAACAAACATACAAATTCGCGCCCTTTGTTAAAGACTACAATTTGCCTTTGACAAAGGCGGTCTGTGCACTTCCATGTTTGACGGAGGCTTTAGTTGTGTGAATTTCCCAGCATTGCTAATGTTTGCGATGGTTCCTGGTAAATTGGAAATCACATTTTACGCGAACCCCTACAGAACCTCCATTTGCTTAAGCCCCTGGAAAATATAGAATATTTCCAGTAGTGATAGATTCCCTTTAAAACCAAAAGGGGAAAACAAAAAATGATCTTAAGCAAATGGAAGAGGACCTGTCTGAATTCGACTTCTGGCCTCGTTCTCCGCGTCCAAGGCGGAGGTGGCCTCGTCCAGGAAGAGCATCCGGGGCCTCCGCAGGAAGCAGCGCGCGATGGCGAGGCGCTGCTTTTGGCCCCCCGACAGCATGATGCCCTTCTCCCCCACCCGGGTGTCGTAGCCCTCCTCCATGTCCAGGATGAACTCGTGCACGTTGGCGGCCTTGCAGGCGTGAATGAGCTCCTCCTTGGTGTAGTCCCGGCCCAGGCCGTAGGCAAGGTTCTCCTCCACGGAGCAGGAGAAGAGCTGCGTGTCCTGAGCCACGAAGCCACAGCACTGGCGCACACCTTTGGAGGACAAGGTCTTGGTATTCCGCCCATCCAGAAGGATGTCCCCAGCCGTGGGCTCGTAGAACCGCATCAGCAAGTTCACCAAGGTGCTCTTGCCACCCCCGCTCTTGCCCACCAAGGCGGTGCTGGTTCCAGGGTGCAGGTCCAGGTCGATGCCCTTCAGCACGAGGCTGTCGGGACGCGAGCGGTACCAGAACTGGATGCCCTTGAGCTGCAAGTGACCCTTCACGCTCTCACGGGTCACCACTTCCCCCTCATCCGGATTCACGTCCGGCCGCGCGTCGATGAGGGAGAAAACCCGCTCGGCGGCGGAAGAGGACCTGATCAGGTCATTGAAGACATTTCCCAGGGAGATGAAGGCGTTGTTCATCATGTTCCAGTACAATTGGAAGGTGATGAGCGAGCCGATGCTCATCTGTCCATTCCCGTCGCACACCTGCTGCCCACCATACCAAAGAATCAGCACCGCAGTGCCCAGGTTCAAGTATGTGGTGAAGGCTGTCATGGAGGCCCCCACGTATGCGTTTCTGACCCCATGGCCTAAGGACGTATTGATGGAGTCTGAGAAGTTGCCGGATTCGAATTCCTCGGTGGAGAAGCCCCGCACCGTGCGGATGTTGGAGATGGCGTCGGTGGCGGTAGAGTTGGCCTCGCCCATGGCGCATTGGATGGAGAGCCTCACCTTGCGCGCCCAATGGGCGTAGGCCCGGTAGCTGTAGGTGATAGGGGGCACGATGGTCAGGGACAAAATCGACAGCTTCCAGGAGGTGCGGAAGGCCATCAGCATGCCGCCCACCAGGAGCAGCACGTTGGCCAGCAGGTCGTTCATGAGGGTGTTCAAAGGCTGCGTCATCTCGCCGGCGTCGTTGGTGAGCCGACTGGTGAGCTGGCCCGTATGCATGGTGTCGAAGAAGGCGATGTCCATGCGGATGACGCTGGCGAAGAGCTGCAGCCGCACAGAGCACGCCATCCGCCGCTGCACCAGCTCCTGCGCCAGCGCCTTCAGCCCGCTGAAGCAGCCCTGCAGCACATTCACCACCACGTACGTCAGCATCGCCGTCTCGAAGTGGCCTCGCCCCGACTCTGGGTGCTGCAGAAAGGCGATGATGCCGTCGAAGATGGAGCCCTGCACATTGGGTGTCAGGATCTGCAGCAGCTGCACAATCACCAGGCATGCCAAAGCCGCCACCAGCGTGGGCCAGAAGTCCAGGGCGATGAGGACAATACGCTTGAAGTAAGTCCATGTTGTAATCTGCTCGCCAGCCCGCCGCACAGACCAAGCACCAAATCCTTTGGCACTGGTTTTGTCTTTCTGTTTATAGCACCTGGGGCAAAGGCCAAAATTGCAGCTGCGGCAAATGTGGGCCACGTAGTGAGGCCTCTTCATCGAATCGCCACAAACGGCGCAGCGATGACACTTCAGCTCGGTCTGAAAGAACAGTGGGTGCATGTGCATATGCGGGATGAGCTCACCTTGGTCCTCAGTGAACTTATTGAGCACATTCTTCAGCATGAAGTATTCCACGTTGATCATGATCATGGTGATGGCTTGCAAAGTGCCCTGTAGGACCAAGTAGTTCGCGTCATAGTGAAACACAATGCACTTGATGCCGTTGTAGAAAGACATGCCCGTGCTGATGGCAAAGAGCATCATCATGACCACCTCCTTCCTGCGATCTGCTCTCTTCATCAGCAGCGCATGATCCAGGTTCATCTCGAAGACCGTCTTCTCGGAGCTGCTGGAGCCGCTGGAGCCGCTCGAGTTCGATCTCGCACTCCCCGTGCTCGTGCTGCTGATCGGAAGCTCCGCCAAGGGCACCCGAAGATCCGAGGCCGAGGTCGCGGTGCAGGGGCGCGACTGCGGAGACGCCGTGCGACGGTGCACCACCAGAGCCAGGAGGGACATCAGAGGGAAGACCACGAGGCGGATCAAACAGCAGCTGAAAGTATCAGAGGTCTCTGATTCGTATTTGGTCGCATGAGGGTCCTTCTTCTCAATGTTGCCGATGGCAAAAAGGCCGCCTGTGACTGCTAGGTCTAGCACAAAAGCAGCCAGAATCGCTAGAACGTGAGCCCTCCGGGACACCATGGGCAACGCTACAGCTGAAGGCAGGAAGATTCGGCCACTGAGCGCAAACAGCTGAGCAAGTTGTGCACTTGGCCGTGCTGGGCACCTGAGGCAATTTCCGGCCGAAGCTACGGAGCTCGAGCTCCGGCCTCAGATCGTGAAGTTTGTGGCGCCCACGCTGACTTGGACCTTCTTCACACCTGCGCGCTTGCATGAAAATTCCATTCACCCCCAAGCAGAGTGATGCAAATGGGATGACAATCAGTGGCCAAGCCCCGTGCCTTTCTTGGGATCCTTCCTGTTTTGCCGCCCCCGTTGCACGGCTTGAATCTTGGTGGCTGCCGCATCGCCTCGGTCCGAAGGTCCGAAGGAGCAGCGAGATGCTGACACCCAAGAAGCCGTCCGGCGGCCCTGACTTCGGGCGGTTTTGAAAGTGTTCTTTAGTGGGGTGAGAAGTGGCTGTGGCTCAAAAAACGGGATTCCAAAATGGCTTGCCCTGGGAAGTGGGTTCCATGGACCAAAACCTGCGGTTTGCCCCTCCGATCGTTTCATTTTGAGCCACAAGTGGAAACATGGGACCCGAGAACGCGCTTGCGCCTCGGCCCAGAACTAAGATCACAGTTTCCGCGCTGCGTTTGGGTCAGCTTCCGCGAGCCAAGGTGCGGTCCGCCTGCGAAACTCCTTGGCTGTGCACTGCAACTTGAGCATTTCGGCATTTCGGCATTCTCTTCCAGCTGCAGAGCTATTGCCTGCCGCATGGCCTCATGAACAAGTGAACAAGTCTTCCGAGCTGCCGCTGGCTTTCTTCTTCTCCTTGCTCTTCGGCTTCTCCTTCACACCCTTGTCCGCCTGCCAAGTGCTGCGCAGTCTCTCGAGCTCTTCCCTCACACTCAGGGACAAAAACCAATTAAACTACGTGTCAAGTCAAATGCGCCTCCAAACGGTTGGTCTCCTTGAAGCGTCCATTGAGATCTGACAAGTTCCCATATCTTGCACGTACCAATAGTGACTAACAATGAAGGACACTTTAATCCATTCAACCCGCAAAGGCTGCCGACGTGATATTCCTGATCTGGGGGTTGATGCAAACACCAGTTGCAAGGCATGGCCATCAAACAATAGAATTTGACTGACACGGTCCTGCCCAAGAATCATTTTTCTTTTGGAGACAGCGCTGAGTTCCATGAGTTTGCAGGGAATGCTAGTCTATAAGCCCATCAGTGTGACTCTAGGACATGATGGTATAACTTGGTCCCTGCACGTACAAGTACCCGGTGGACACCAGCTGAAAAAGAAAAAAAAAACAATTGGCCATGGGTCAAAACCCCGTACCTTTCGTGAACATCCCAATCCCCACCTACCACAAAATGGTACCATTGGTTTTGACCCACGGCCAATTAGCAACGTGCAGATATGCTAGGCCATGCTAGGCCCCTGATGCCCTTGCTCACACGTGTTGCAGGGGTACACCGTCATTGCCGGCGGCTTTGCCACCTGGAACAAAGTGATGACGTTAAAACTTGCTATTAAGCGGGCAGGAGAGCTGTGCGTCAAGACTGCCAGTAGGATTTGTAGGGAAAGAAACGGGAAACCAAAAGGAGACTATTTGCAAGGGGCGTCGAGTGTTGACAATGTCAGTGCTTTGCCACATTACGGACACGAAAACATGCCAATGGTTTGAAGCCAACGCGCCGACAAGTAGATCGGGCAAATGACCAAGCCAAACATGGGAAAACAAACAGCAGCCCCAAATATCAACTTCAGAAATAATACTTGCGCAACTTACGTATTCTTATGAACAGAGATTTGTGTGGGATGTCATCACCGGCAAAAACCAGGGTTGACCCAACCGCCTACAAAAACGTGTTGAAACCACTGTCAAATAAACATCCTCATGTAGTTTCCGGGATTCCATGGCCTAGTTGCGACCAGTTTGCGCCCCAATCCTGCCAAAAAAATGAACAAACAAGCGCAAGAACCAACCATTGGGCTTGGAATCACTCGTCTAGGCAAGTAAGCTCATCACAGTTTTCGCTTGATTCTGCATTGGCAAATTGCACAAATAGGGGTTCTGGCTTGTATTTAAGACATGTGCTTGAGAACAAGGGTTGTTAAGACATGTGATTTGACAATCCGGGTGCAAAATGGCCCCTGCGTCTTTTGGCTGATCGGCAAATGCAAACTCCAACAATCACGAAAACACAGCGTCGACAAGCATTGCTATGCAACACTCCGGCAACTCCCTCGCCAGCTGTGTCGTGAACTGGAAACGACAACGTTTCTCAAGCCCAACGCTTCTCAGAATCTGCATCCACCAAAAATCACCAGCCCAACAAAAGAGATGGGTTTTTCGTTGCCCCCCCCCCCCAAAAAAAAAAAAAATGGGGGGGGGTCCCATTTGACCGCAAGCCAAATTGGGGAAAGCCTCCAGCTGCGCTTCCAGCTCTTCCGCCAGGCGCTGCTCCTTCGCCAGCTGCTCCGCCGCCAGCTGCGCCGCCCTGGCGTCGAGCCCCCGACTGGAGTCCACAGAAAAGGTTCCCTAAAGCCGGACTTGTTGTGGTCTCCACGGCACGGCGCGAGCAGTACCGGTGGTACCGGGGGGGATCTGAACCGCCAAGTTTAATACCATCCCCTGGAAAGGTTCCCCAAAAAAGGCGTCGCTGTGCACAGGAGAGACAGTTCCTTAGACATGGCCAACAGACACCCCGTGGTTTTGGCCACCTGGCTCGAGTATGGACAAGGCAGGGAAGTGGGTGTGGGATTGCCTTCGGTGATTGTTGTAGGGGTATTAGTAGGACGCTGGGACCATTTTGGATTGCTCCTGGGCTCGAGGGTGTAGTTCCAAGCGCCTTTCAAGCCCCGAGCAAGCGAGGCGAGCTCAAGGGAATTGACACAAGCGATGCTAGATAGAAGGTGCGGAAGCAGATCCCGGGCCGCCAATGAGTGAGCCACGAATCAGATCTCCTTTTATGATGCTAGGAAACTAAGAGGAAACCAGACGTCTGAAGAGGTGAAATGTGCTTTGCGACACTAAACCAGCAACTTGGCATTCCGCTTCAAGCTGGAATTCCAGCTAGGACTGCTGGAACCTTCTGACACGACTGCAAGCATCGAAGAGGATAAGCCGATTCCAGGCAAGCACCCTGCGGTTCAAAAAACCCGGACATCAGCGCCAGCAACCCTGGTTCCCGACAAGTGTTGCCCGGTCCCCGGTCGTTTGGGAAAACAAAATAACTGGTTGGTGAGAACTTGGGGTTTACCCGGCCTTTCAGATGCAACGGCGGTGCGAAGGCCGGCCTCTGGCGGTCCCTGAGTTGCTCCTGCAGCTGGGCGCGGCGCTGCGCTGCCAGGGCGGCAGCCTAAGCAAACAGAAAGTAGGAAGCAGTCGAAAACCGACAAACTTCCAAACTCGCGTTTTGGATTCCTCGTGTTTCGTCGTGGTTCTCCTTAAGGCTGGCACAGGGTTAAAGGGACCCTTTTCCAAAAGTCCGAATTTGCCCCGACGGTGCATGCCTGTTGCATCTCCTCGGTCTTTGCGAGCAGCTGCTGCAACTGAGCCTCCTCCTACGAGGGCAAACGGATCTGCCATTGACTCCAAAGGGAATGTGAGGGCCCTGGAGAGCCTCCTGTTATCTTGCCAGCTGTCTTATGGCTCAGCCTAGGTTGCACAAGGGAGCGCAGCAAAATACTGCCGTCAAAAACAAAGCAGCAGCAAAACGAAAGGGGATGTTCTAGGATTCTGGGCAACGTTCCGCCACAGAAACAGCCCGCAAGCGAAGCCAAGGCCGAAAAGGTGTAGGGTGGCGTCAGCCAGTTGCAAGGCTTGCCTTGGCCTGCTCTTCTGCGGCCGCCCTGGCCCTGCGCTCGTGTTCCTGCACCTGGCCAGAGGAGCCTTCCCCACTCCCCACGTTTTGGGCCAAAATCCTTGTTTGTTGCAGCCCCCAACTCAAAACAGAACCAGCACCAACAAAAACCAACAAAAAGAAATGCGGGGGGGAAAAAAAAAGAACGGTCCACCTCTCCGTGTTGACTTCTCAGTTTTGCACGTCCAAACACCGTCCCGGAAAACTATGGGGCTCAATGCCCGGTGGCTTACTCCCATGCCACTTCCTCTAGCGAGCTTGACACTCGTGGCCTGGGTGTGAAGAAACTCCAGGATTCAATTCGACGTAAGGGTCAATACTGACTTATCATTACTATCATAATCTGGGCTGTCCTCAGATCCCCCGCTGAAAGTTTAACTTTTAGCGCGTTAGATAGAAATCCCCACTAAACACTAACCACCAAGATAATTTGTGCAATCCCTCATCTCAGAACATCACAAGTGCGTTTTGTCCCAGAACTACTCAACGGGGCAGCATGACAAATAATACAAACACTCAAAGTACGAGTATTTGCACGCCACACAAATACCAAGAAACACCCTGCAAACTAGTTGCCACACAATGTCGCACTGAACAAGAAGTTCTGGTCCGTGGCAAACACTGCTGGCGTAGAGAATACAATTAGTCCCAGCATTCCGTTGCAAGTTGCAAAAATATCTGAACAAATCAAAATGCTTACATTGCAAAGAGCACCCAGCGCCATAAAGAAGTCGCAACCACTGGACCAACTCAATGGAATTCCTCAAGGGTTGCTGGCCCAAATATCCTCATCATTGACTTCTGAGAGCTTTACACACGATTGTTGGGTGACATGCGCAATCACGACGGGCACGCTTTTTCTTGGAACCGCCAGACTGGCTCTCAAGCCCGGCTAGGAACCACTCTGCAGGCAAGCCACAGTTTCCACCAGGGAAGCTGGCTATGCCATGCAGGCACCACTCACAGCCTGGATCTGCTAAACGTATCGTGCAAGTGGGGTATTTCCTCGCGGCCCCCGAATATGGGCCAAACCGCCCGCTCGTCTTGTCAGGAGTTGCCCTGCGCGCCTCGTAGCAGAGAGTCAGTGTCGACTGTCCATTGGGTCGCATTGAAATGCCTCCTGAATAACTGCCTAGTGAGGCATCCCCTTCAAAACCACGCCAGGGGCACTCCAAAGCCTGTGACACAAAATCTGCTGCGATCCCAGAAGCAGCAAAAACACGCCATTTGGGCCTGTGTCAAAACGGGAAATCCTTTTTGCGGTGACAAACAACCCACCGCAAAGCAACACGAACTCAGTCGTGTAGAAAATTAGAAAATGTTGATGCGGCGCTTCAAGGCCGCCAGGTCTAGAAATTCTCAGATGACCATCGTGGTCTCCTCCAAAGTCTCCCCGATCCACGCTTCGAGCTCTCGGACGCGGATGCGGCGGCCTCCAGAAGCAAACGCGAAGGCGTCACGGAAGACCCTCCCGAATCTCTCTGTCTGTTTGGGTGCCTCCAATGTGATGTCCTGAGTTTGACGCAGGACTAAGGAAACGCATCCGGCGACATCAACAGATTCGCGGACGCGCCTTGATGGTCATCCACCTCGAACTTGCGGTGCCACGGCCAGCGCAAGGCCTCGTGCTCGTTGACCCTGCGTACCAGGACCTGGGCCCAGGCCGAGCTTGGAACCGGCTTTTGTCATTGAACTGCCGTGAGGGCAGCCTGCGGAACCCCTTGCATCGAAAGGCAATGGTTGAAGCAAGCCAGCCTCGCTACGTTGCAGGCCCTTCCCCTGCCGAAACTGGCTGTTGTTATGGTTGGACCGCGTCCAAAACCAAACGCTCGAACACATTGCCCAACCCGCCCCCCATCTTCCCAACACAAGTAGGCCAAGGCAGACCCCATCCCACCGAACCATGCACACCTGCAGCTTAGCTTGGTGTGAGTTTTCCAAAATACTGGGGGGTCCTGGAAAAACGAAAACAAAGGCGCTGTCCAAGGCAGCGCACCAAGCGAGAAACCAATGCCCGGAGTGCCTTCGTGTCCCGAGGCCCAAAGAATTTGAAGAGGCGGTACACCGCCAGCCGG